CATTAACAAAGGCTGTTTCATATGAGGTGAGCGTGCGCTGGTCACGTTGTCTATTTCACTAGCAGCATTGTGTAGCGAGAACATAAAGTCGATCTCAAAATCTGGCATTCAGAACCACAATTCGTCGTCCTTTACAAGGCATTCAACAGCCAACATCCCTGCAGCAGCTGCAGCGCACATAGATCAGTTGACGGTGATTTCCTGTGCTGCAGCAAATTCCAGACTTAAGATTTCCCAACGTTTTACCCAAACGGCGCGCCCTGCACAGTGCACATGACTGAAAACAGCGCACCGTTTCTGCGCAACACCTGGCGCCCCGGCGTCAGCGTCTCTCCTCTCCGTCTCTCCGAGCAGTGACGGATCAGGACACCGAGCTGCATTCCCTGAAAACAGAGATCCAAAGCCGAGCGCCGACACGGGCAGCCTTAGCTTCCAAATGCGTCGCTGCCCTTCGGCTTCCAGATAGGCTTATGGGAAAAGCGTAGGTATGTGGCATGGCTCATGAGACCTAATACCAACGAAATAAGTCGCGCTTGGAACTCTGATAATTTCTATGGAGCATTGCCGATCGCATGACGGGCAAGAGACGCTCGGTATGGGCACCAAAGAGGGCAATGAACTCAGGACACCACGGGTCGACCACAGACGCAGTGAATCACGTAATTCGGGCGCCGGACCTTACTGGGCTGCTTCCGAGAGTCCTCTTTGTTCTTCAGCGTGAGATTATAACTCACACACGAACTTTTATTTATCGAATCCCACATAATGCTGCACGCGATTTATTTCCACTTTTCACTCCCCGATCCAGCAGTGATACGGAAAGCAGCCACAGACATACCAAGCTATCGCGTAAGTGAAAATCCTACGCATGACATGGTATGACCTCGCCCACATCTTCCGTGGTAAAGTCGCTAACCTAGCAAGGTAAGGTAGGGGGACAGACGCCACCGGCCACACACACACATCCCTCACCAACTGACCACCTGCCCCCTCCCCACAGTCAGTCGAGCGACAGAAACATTCCGGCGTCGTTCGGCGACATGTGGCTGGCGTCGCGTACACCCCCGTCCACGGCCCGGGGCGGCATTCCAACGGAAGCGGCAGAGCGCGGGCTCCTCCGCCGTGTCCTGTCGTCGCCCCGGTCTCCGGCGGCAGCCCGCATGGCCTCGCTGCAGGCCGCGGCGCCCCGCACGGCCCTCGCGGTTTCCATTACCGGGGCGCGAACGAGCCGGGAGCGGCGCAGAGCATGGGCGCGACACGGCCGCGCGCGGCGGGGCTGTTTATTTTCTCAGTCGCTATCGCGCTCATCGCGCGGTGTCCGGTGTCGAGCGCGTCTGTCCACGCGCGGCCGGGACGCGTGACTGGTGTCCGAGCGCAGCACACAGCAGCAGCAGCAGCAGCAGTGGCAGTACGTCACCCGGCTGACAGGACCGGGCGGCGCAGGACGGCCGCAGCAGCCGCGCTCCGTCGTGGGAGAGCGGCCGCGACACGGCGACACCCGGTAAACGGACTGCCCAGGAATGCCGCCGCTGGTCTGGCAGTGTTTGTGTGTGTATGTGTAACAGCAGCAGCCAGCCTGGGAGCGGCGACAGCGCGTGATCGACGCCGCTGCAGCGCTGGGACCGCCGGCTCCGAGCGCGGCTTTAGCAGCGCGCTCACAGGCCCGCGGCATCAAGCATGGGAGGCAGACACATACCTCCAGCCGAGCAGACAAACAGCCTTGGAGTCGCCCGCTCGCAGGCATGCAGGGTCGGTCGCGTGTTGGGCTCAGTGCAGAAAATGCCGTCAAAATCCGCCGATACGCCCTGGGCCGGCGGCGGCGCGGCCCTTTCGCGGAAGGCTGCACTTCTGCGCGGCCTCTGTCACCCCGGCGTGCATATCCCACCGGGCGCCCATAACTCGGCCCCTAATGACGGCGTGCACCGACCGGACGCCGGCCGGCGCTCCCACGGCGCCCGTCGGCCGTCTGTCGGACGCCCGAGGGCGCCCCCGGGGCGTCAGCGCCGGGCGCCCGCGGGTGGACGCCCGGCGAGCGGCGCGCACCATAATCAGCGGCGGCGGCGGCGCGGCGCCGATCGGCGAGCCACGCCGTGATTGTAGCCTCTGAGCCCGCCAGCGGGCCAACCGCCGACGCGCCACAAAAACTCCAAAAGGGATCGATGCGGTGGCGGTGTTCCCACACACGGTGAAGCCCGACACCGTCAGCCTCGGCCCGGCTTGGCTCGGCGGACAGCTCACCGCGCCCCGGTCGGCCGGCACGGAAGCCGGCGGCGGGGCCGAGCTCCGGTCAAAGGTGGCCCGTGCCGGTCTCGTCGAGCGGGCCGCCGCGTGATCGGTCGGTCACGACGGCGCCTAGTCCGTGGCCGCACGTGCTTCAGCAGCTCGGCGCGACCCTGACCGCGCTCCCACCGCCGCGGAGCCTCCCGGGCGGCCTGCTGCGGGGCCGCCGGTGATAGCCAACTGTCCGGCGACTGCAGCGGCGCACAGGCCACCAAATTCGCCACGACCGCCTCCGTCGGTGGCGGAGGACGTTCCCACGCAGCCGGCAGACCAGAGGCCTCAATAACATACAGAACAAACCAATGGCCTGCGCCACGACACAGGGTAATGATTACTGGTTTAGGGCGCCGCTGCCGAGATTATATGGCTCTGGGGCACTCACGGGTCGCTCGGCCTCGCCCTGTGTAACGCGCCCCTCTCCTCCCTCCCCCTCCCGCCTCCTGCGTTCGGACGGAGCGGCGTGTCATACCGAGCCGTGCTGTGCGCCGGTCTCCGCTGATAACAGCCGCGTGACGACGACTCGCACAAACAGCTCGGCGCGTATCGGACACCGCCCGCGACTGGAGAGCGCGGCCACAGGACGGGGCTGAAACGAGCCGCCACAGCGACCCCCGCCGCCGGCCGGGTCATGTCGCCGGCCGACCGCTCCGAGCCCGCGTCTCCCAGCTCCGGGGTCGGGTCGGAGCAGTGTTTTTGTCCAGTAATCGGAGCGGCCACAGCGTCGGCCGTTAACAGGCTGCGCGGCTCGGCGACGGGACGGTAAATAAACAGGTGGTGGCGGCTCGGGAAGTTACGGCGAGTTGTGGTGGCTCGAGGAGTTACGGCCAGTTGTGACGGCCGTGTACGCTCGGTAGGAGCCGTAAGCGGCAGAAGAGACGACGGGAGACACTGTGAGACACGGTGAGATACTGGCGCCCTAGGTGGAGACGGCAAATTTCACTGCTGGGGACAGTGAAGCCCCGGCCTGGTGACAGATAAACCGTGGACGAAAGCAGTGGAACCCTGGTCGGGAGACATCGTTACGATGCTCGCCGGGAGACTAAATGGTCCGGCTTATAGCCTGCCGCCATCGGACAAGAGCCAACTCGGCTAGCACAGGACACAAATCCACCAGAGATGCAATAAAATACACAAGCTCAGGGGTGCTGACGCACGTACAACTGTCAGTAAGCCTCTAATCTGCATCTACAAGCGCATCAGTCCGTCCGCCAGCCAAGCATCGGGCATTTAGTATCTGCCACGATGATAAGGCTTATCCTGCCTGAGGTCCAAGCCTTTCGGATAGCCGCGCACGCCACCAATGCTGCTGCGCTGCAGCTCTTTTACTGCCTTGGACAGCTGGTGAAGACATCCTAGGCGGACAGCAGTGTCTCTCCAGCCTGACCACACGGGACAGCGCTCCCCGGCGCAGCGAAACATGGGTGGCCAGCCAGCGCTGCTGTCTCAGCACGTGAGCCGGCCGCCCAACACCTCTCGGCCGCCGTCGACCACCTCTCCTCAGGCCGCGGCAGATCGGTACGCACGTCACGGCTGCTGGAGAGGCCGACCAGCCCCAGAGACAAGGCCGGGCGCCGCGCCGGCCGGCCCACAGAGCTGTGCACGGCCGCACACGAACCGCCGCCCGCCGCCCCCAGCACCCGTCGGCCACGAGGGACACCTGACTACCTACCCCACCGGACCGGACCGGGCCGGCCGGCAGCCGGGCAGCGGCGGCTCCAGACCGGCCCAAACCCGGCCAGTCAGCGTATTTGGACCCCATCCGGCGGCGGTAGCCGGTGGCCGGTGGACGGCGCCTATCGGGCCGGGCCGGCGGCCGCTCTGCCGGCCGGACCGGCCCGCTATCAGCCGATAACGAACAGAGGCAGGTGTGTGTGCGCGCCGGCCGGCCGAGGCGCGACTCAGACGACGGCCGAGACGGGACAGGCGTGACGGGACGATATACGACGGGGACGACCTGTCGCCCGGCGCCGGTCCGCCGGTGTCGACCCGGCCGGGCCAGACAGCGCCCAGGTGGCTCCATGACCGCCGACGGGAGGACCGGCGGCTCGCGGCGCCGAGCGGCAGGCGCCGCGCCGCGGAGAAAGCGACGGGCCGATCGCGGCGCGGGCGCGCCCATCGTGCGCCGCGGACGCGCCAATTAATGGCGCGGGTACGGCACGGCAGGCCGCGCGTCGGCTGCATGCCAAATCGGCGCGCCGGCCGTCCGGCACGGCTATTACGGCTCAATGAGGATGATTGGCCGGCTTCATAAGCGGCTGGCCGGCCGGGAGAGAGCCGGTCGGCACACCCCTCAGCCGGCAAATAGCCGCCCACCGGCCACGGACGCGGCCCGCCCCCGAGCGGCTCCGAGCAGCGGTGCCGGCCAGCCAGCCGTCCTCCGGGGACTGAGCCAGCAGAAGCAGGCACTATATTCTTACTTACGTCGTGCGCACTAATTCTACTCTTTTGAACACCAGATTTGAATTCAGTCAGCCTCATACTACCCAAACGCACAATACTGACCCAATTCGTCACGCGTAAATGCTCCCAAAAACACCACGCACCCCGGACGGCACCCAAACCTTTTCAGGGCCTGGCGTTCCTTTCTCCAGTCCGCGGCCTGGTTCCAAACAAGTCCAGCTGCTCTCCCTCCCCTGTCCTGTCGGCGCCGACCACAGCGCGGCCTTTTTAGCGCGGAACAGAGGAAACCCGTGGGAACCCGGCGCTCGGCGCGCACTTACTTGCAGACTGGAGGGTCGCCGCGCCGGCGCTGCTCACACTCGGCGCCGTTCTTGCACGGGTTCGGGTGGCAGGACCGGAATCCTGCGGCACAGAGAGGGCGGTCAGCGGTCAGCGGTCGGGGGTCAGCGGTCAGCGGTATCAGCAGCGAGGTATCAGCGGCCAGAGGCAGAGGTACCTATCAGCAGTGAGGTATCGGTGGTTAGAGGCAGAGGTTTCAGCAGCGAGGTATGATACCAGCCGGCAGAGGTATCAGCAGAGAGGTCAGAGGAGCGGTCAGTGGTCAGTGATCCAATGTTACCCAGCCGGGTGCAGTATCAGAGAGCGAACAATGGACGGCATTCGATTGGGGCGGTGCCATCAGAGAGGTGGTCTCGAGTCCACTCGGTCCGCCGCCAAGCTTGATACCGGACACACGGGGGTCACTCCAGAGCCTCAGATGCAAGATGTCGTCATGAGGGCGCCGCACGAGGAAATGGGACTGATTTCATTCGGTGACAACACACTCAGTAACAGAACACCACTAATCTGGTGCCACTGCACTGGTGTCATTTCACCCAGAGCCAGCCTATAGGACACCGACGGTTCTCGGGTGGCGCCGCGGCCCCAGTCGGAGCAACAGCGCGGGTGCAGGCAGCCAAGCGTGCTCCCGGTTATTAACGAGACGCATGAAACATGTATCAGTCGTTAAGTAATAATTTCGGGTACAAGTAATTATACTATATTTCAACGAGGCAAAATGCCCAAATAAAATATCCACCTTCCCATCCTCTCGGCACTATCAGCGGTCCGTCCGCTGGCGATGGGAGCAGCTCCCTCGCAGTGCGGAGACAGCAACTGGCGACACTGAGCTCACCGCGTGTTTGTTGTTGCAGCCAGCAGTGGCACATGTTTCATCTGCACATGTCACACGGCCTGCATGTGCTCGTACATCAGCGTCATCAGGACAGCGCAGCTACCCGCTGCTCTGCACTTGGCGACGTTTGGATTATACTGCGTCAGCCGTCAACAAATGACCTCAAAATGAGCCAGTAAAACGACTCAGATTTCCTAACTCCATTAATCACGCAACACCATCCAGAAACAAACGACTATCAGGCTTCAGCAGCGACAATAAATATATGGGTACGTATAAAGGATATATACCTAGCATGGTTATTATGCTGAAACATATTATAACAGGAGTTCATTGAAAAAAAAGAGAACAAAAACGTCTATCGCAGGATCAATTCCCAGCAACATATCTACGAGTTGGAATAAAAAGTCTGGTCAGCTGATACCAATGACCGCTAACACGTCGTCACCAATGATTGTGTCAAAACGATAAGTTTTCACACATCTTGACTTCTTAACGAACACGGCCATCTAGCAAAAAGTTATCGTCTTGACGCCTGAGATAAGGGGGGGGGGGGTTAACGAGCAGCGGCCGCTGAGTCGGTGAGCTGCTGCGCCCACCGTCCCGCCCCCCAGCGACCTCGTCCTCTCCCTGCCGACCCAACTGCCGAGCCGTGACGCGCCGGAAGCGAGCCCATTCAAACGGCGGCGGTCGGAAGCGATTGGCGCAGGTGCGAGCGGCGAGCGGGCCGCGCGGTTAACCGGGCCGCTGGCCGCCGCCCGTTTCCGGCCACGCGACCCAACACACGCCCTGCGGCGGCACGCCACGCGACCCGTGCCCCGCGGCTGGGCCGGCGTGTGGTGCAGCCCGTACCCGCGAACGAGCGGTGGAGGTGGCACTGTGGCAGTGGCTCCGGAGGGAGGCGTGGACCGCGGTCAGGGCCGCCGCCAGTCGGTTTATCTGCTCTCCCAATCACCCCGATCTGTCCGACCAGTCGCCCGGTCGGCGGACCGTGAAGCTGTCCTCCCCATATGGGGGAGGGACGTGCCACTGTTGGCCAACACAGCGCTCCGTCGTCCCCGCTGACCGGTGCCCCGCAGCCTGTTCCTCTGCAGACTGGAGCCCACGGCAGGCGGACGACCGTCTAACGGGGACCGGCCGTGGCGGAAAGGGAAAGCAGTAGAGGCGATATGTTGCGCCCCGCCAGACGTGTTGTAACACTTATGGCCGCCGTCCACTGGTTAAGTACGCGCTGAATTTAATATTGAAGTCTATTGGCTGCGCGCCGAATGCGGTTCAGCGCCGAACGCACGATGAATCGCCGTCAGCTGATTATTCAGCGGCTGTTCGGCGCCGAATCACGTGCTGACGACTAAAGATTACTTAACAACTCTGACGTCTTGAAACACTTCAACTTTTCAGCGCTCGTCTAGGCACTGGACGATCACGCGCAAAATGTGCGCCTAACCAGTGGACGGCGGCCATTAAACCTCGGAGCCGCGACATCCATATTCAAACTTTTTTGACGAAACGAATGAGAGGATGTTCAGTTCATGGACACCTGTCTGAAACCTCATAATTGGAGGCCCTCCTTGGCTCCATCGTTAGGGTCATAAAAACAGGCAAAAAGATGACAAATGTGAAGGGTAGTCTCGGAGTTAGTGGCATGTCATTTGACAGTCAAAGCATAAGTCGTGTGACCAAGCCAGCAGAGCGCCAGAGCGTAAGTTGAAGACGCTGTTAACCTGGCCCTTATTTCCCAAATCCACCCAGATCACTTGCCCGCACCTCTGACCAGTCTGCCGGACTAAACACATTCCGACACTGGCCGGCTTCTTTCCTGGGCGGCCGGCGCGCGCAGCCTGCGCACGGTATCCGCCCGAGTTTTCCCCGGGGCCGTCCATGTCGCACGACGCAGGAAAATGAAGGGCTTCCCGGCACGGGGGCGGGGGAGGGAAAAATGGCCCGGAAATGGAGTGTGATTCCTCCGCAAAGGAGAAGGGTCGGGCAACGAACCGCTCCGAAAGGTGGTTGGGTAGGTACTTGATCCAGGTAGGAACTACTTGGTTGGGTAGTAACTACTCAGGTACCAAGAAGCGCGGATCAAGAGAACTATCTAATTCACAATCTGGTCGCGCCAATACGACTTCACACGGAATGTGACGCTATTTGTCACCTCCAACTCGACACCTAGAATACGGATTCGTGGAAGCTGACTCCTCATGGCCTTCTGCCATGTGCACATTTTAACATTCCTCGGCACACCCAGACCTCATGCCGTGCGATAAGCGATAGACGATAAGCACAAAATATATCGGATTTCAAAATTGTTACCGACATGCCACATAAACAAAAACACAATCGGATTACGCCAATGCAATCTCTTCCTGCGATGATAAATCGACTAAGCTACCTAAAAAGGTGGACGGAGCCGAAATGGGAAAGCAACATTCAAAACTGCATATCCAAATCGATCTGAGACTTTCCCACCGACGGGCCGCCCGCCGCGTATGTCCGTCAATGTCACACCCGAACTGGGAACGGCCAATCCGGCATCAGTAGCAGTAGCAGCTCCCCTCACTCAACATCTGGCGACGAGACATCCGCCCCACTCGCGAGCGCTCTAGCCGCCACCAGTGAAACAAAAACTCGGTGAGAGAGCGCGCCGCGGCGCCGGCGGCACATCTGGGGGACAGGCGGCCCCGTACAAGTGGCGAGTCGTTCCCACGCTCCCGGCCGCCCCTCGCGCCTCCCCTCCCCTCCCCAGCGGAGGGGTGATGTCACGCACATAATCCAAGACGGGCGACAGCGACGCCGCGTGGAACTACTCACCAGAACAAAAAACGACCGAAATCGAACCCGGTTAAAATTAACCGCCGACCATTCTGATAAACAGAGGCGAACACGCCGCTGTCGGCACGCTGTGGTCGGCGGGCGTCTGTCCAGGAGCGAGGCAGGAACAGACCTCCCGCCGAGACATTTGACGGGCGCCGGCCGGCCACCGGCGCGCGGCGTCTTCACAAGGCGCGCTTCCGTTCCCACCGCGGCGCCGCCGCGCCATCCGCCGCTGATTCACCGGTGATGGCGGGACGGGACAGCCCGTATCACCGGAGGGTTGGGGGGAGGGTTAGCTCAACTATGTCAGCGCGGGGGCGGAGACGGCGGCCGTCTGAGCCGACACGCCACCGCCGCCGATCGGCCGCTGGCGTGTCACGGGGCGGCGGGCCAGCCGCGACGGCACACGGCCGGTCCGCGCGGCACACGGCCGTTCCGCGCGGCACACGGCTGTTCCGCGCGGCACACGGACAGCGGCACACGGCCCGCCGCCGGCACCGGCACGCCAGCCGACCTCCGGGCGCTCCCAGCCGCCGTCCCCCTAAAAATCCGCCCTTCTGCGTGCCTCCCCGGCGCTAATTGCGAAACAACTGAGGGGTGCACGCCCATGGCACCCAACCCCTCCCCTTTCAGCCCTGATTTTTAAATTCAGAGGGCCAGTTGTATTAAACTGTCATCGGCGGGGCGGTGAAACTGTCCCCCGACACCCATTCAGAGATGAAGCGTTTCAATCAGTCCCCCGTGACGCCGACCGCACAGCGAAATTGAGTTACCGACCGGGCCGGGCGGGTTTTTAACAATCGGCCCGTCCCCCGCTCCAAGCCGCAGTTCCCACGCCTCGTGGCCCCTTTCACTTGCAAAGCTCATTAGGCACCGTGTACCATCAGATAGTCGGTCGCGTAAACAATATTAAGTTGCCATTAAACGATGTCACACTCGAGAGGCGCATCAAAGCGGCGGGACATTGGCGGCGACGCCGGACGCAAGCGACTGGTCCGGCGCGGCGGTTTCTGACGACTCAGTCGCGGCGGCGGAGGGAGGGAGGCGCAGCGGGCGGGCCGACCACAGAGCCGTGACAGCGCGTGACCCGAGACAAAAACCGTGTCCGTCCAGCCACGCGAATCGACAAACACTATCTGCCGATCTCACGGGTCGAGTGCCCTCCCGCGCGATAGCGATAGGCTGCCTAATGGACTCCGTCGAGTGCGTCGGACCACGAGCGCCGGTCGTCTCATCGACACGGGAATACTCGCCTGACGCGATACGGCCGAGCTGAGGTTGAGGCAGGTGGATTTCATGGTAAGCAGGACACAACTACACCAACATAATCTCAACCAAGTACAAGCTACGCCACGGAGCAATGAAGGACGGCCCTATCGGTCTTGTTTAGAGTGGAATTTAAAGTGGTTCGCTCACACAAACGTAAGGGAGCGAAATCAGTTGTTGAGCCCGCATGCAGTGTTAATGTCATTCTGTTGTGGCCAGCTGTCGTGCCTACATTGGTGCAGATGTGACCGTGCAATGCATGGGAGCGACAGCCGTAAGTCGTGACCGAGTTCGATCACACACGCTGTCCCGGTCCCGACACGGAGGCATCACGACTCGGCGAACGGCAGATGAAAACGGAAACGTCCGTCCGGCGACCACCTTAGCACGGCGCCGTCATAATTCAGGGCGGCAGGCGGCAGCAGATTGGCAACAGATGAGGCAATAGAGGTTGGACCTTTGGGATCCTAGTCACAAAGTAAGGCAGCGCTCGCAATATAGATGTGTTAGATGCCAACATTACTTTGCTACTCGGCGCCCTTACTAGCTAACGCTAGGTACAGCGCACTGCCAATGCGTGATGACGATGGGCAATATGCAATGTGCATGGTGCAGCCTCACCGACGCGTCCGTCCTTTCCAGAGTTCGGAGACGCTGCGTAGCATCGGACCCGGTCTCCGTCAACAAGTGGTCCCCGGCGGTTGGCATCAATCAGGTTTGAAAATCGGCCAGGGAGGCCGGGAAGGCGTCGCCAGCTGCCGGTGGGGAGCCACATCCGCTCCCGAGTCAGCCCTCCGGCGGCGGGAGGGGAGAGGAGGTGCCGCACTCCCATTGAAGGAGCCTCCGGCGACGGGAGGGAGGAGGTGCCGCACTCCCATTGAAGGAGCCTCCGGCGACGGGAGGGAGGAGGTGCCGCACTCCCATCGGAGGAGCCTCCGGCGCGGGAGGGGAGGAGGAGAGGAGGTGCCGCACTCCCATCGGAGGTCGGAGGGCCGTTCGGCGACGGCAGGGGAGGAGGGGAGGCTGTGTCGCACTCCCTTCAGAGTGCCCTCCGGCGACGGGAAGCAGAAAGGTGAGGTGCCGCACTCCCCTTGGAGCTCGGAGTGCCCTCCGGCGCGGGAGGGGAGAGGAGGTGCCGCACTCCCATCGGAGGAGCCTCCGGCGGCGGCAGGGGAGGAGGAGAGAACTCCAATCGGAGGTCCGAGGGCCGTTCGGCGGCAGTCGGGTCGCAGACAGGGCCGGAAGCGTTCGGTCGAACTGTGTGTGTGTGACTAGCCTGGGGGAGGGGTCGATTAGGGCTGACGGGGAGGGTGTGTACCGACGGACCGCTCATTGGCGTGATGGACCGATGATCACGGCCAGATGGGTTCAAATCATTTCGCATATTCATATAACAAACCTTTGAAATATATTTGTTCGCTGTTTGAATGACCATCAGCTGGCACTTAGGAAATGCAATGAATGAGAATGAGAATTGGAATCTAGGAAAGAGGGGGGGCATAAGGAGCATATGCCCCAGCAGCGTCCGAAATTCACCTTCAATCCAAATACGAATAAGGGTTTGATGAGGTGACATTCATCACGTAATCCGTAATTCAGCACGGCGGCCTCACAGCAGCAACGGTGCGATTCAAAGTCTCGCTATCAGCATGGTAAAGCCAATCTTGGTAAAGCCCACTGAACACTGAGCCCACCCTTGTTGACAAATGACAATTCAGCGGGCGGGTACACTGATCTGATCAGTACGTTTCTTGTTTGTGGTCATCCTCATCCAATCGCAAGAACCATGCACTGCATAACCTGACTGAAAGAGAAAAAGGCAAGGGTGTGCATTGTTCGAATGGAACGATAAAATATAATGCAATCGGAGCACATACGTCACATAAAAGGCTGCGGGAAATAGGAGGGTAATAGGAGGTGTGGATGGTTGGTTGCGGCGGATAAAGGAGCACGCTGAACTGCGGACACCTCAGCCACAGGCGTCTTGACCCGCTCACTCGCGCTGCCTGTGGTAAGCTCTGTTCCTCCAGTGCACGGCTGACCTACGGTGACGTCACAGCCCCCCCCCGCCCCGGCGGGGTCAGGTCAGGTCGCCTGCTTGCGCCGGCGTTATGCAGGGAGGTATAAATAGCTGGACAAACGTGGAGCAGCCAATTCGTACTACTTTTGATCAGAAAAGATTGAAAAGAACTAGCTTTGTTTACCAAAGACGCTTAGACCCATGTCACGAATAAAATAAGCAATGAAATAATACCGTTTGTATGAATAAAAAAATCACAGAAAAAAGTCTTATAGGCTTTAAAACTAACCAAATGACGATGGCGTTCACCAAACTTCATGCCTAAATAATTCGCTTTAATTTTATCAGCATCGGCATCTTGCGAACTCAATAAATTCATATTGCCTGGATCTTTACGGGACCTTATCTAATTAGTTTTTTTCGCTGTAATATATAATTTGTGCTTTTCGCGACAGGAAAAGGATTATATTTATCTTGATCTCGGGAATTACGGACGGGACAGCGCCTTGCCAAATTACCGCCGAAAGACGTACGCATAACTTGCCAACGCACATGAATGATTGACATTTCTCAGGATCGTTAGAAGATAAGTTCGATTGACTGCAGAAGCCTCAAGAAGGTAACTTGTCCCGGCCTACTGAGTGCCTACAGACACCGGAGAATGCGTTGAAACGAAAGCAACACCCGTGAGACTTGGGCATGACAGTCCTATGTCCAGTTAACCTTCCCGACTTTCCGAATTTCAGACAGTTCATACCAGGTTCTATTTGATAAATTAACCGGTATCGGTTAGCGCCACCGTCGCCGCTAACCGGTACATCAACATGTGAAAATGAAGTTAGAGTAAAAAAACAATCTAACCTGACGACCTAACCTACCTTACTACCTACCGCCGACGGTGACGCCAGCTTTACCGATACCAATTAACCAAATTAATTAAAAGCGAGGCAAAATATCACCTGAATCGACCGCCGACTCACCTTCAGATAGATCCAAACATAAAAGGAGCAGGACGCATCCTACCCAAAGGCTCGCCTTTGGATCCATGGCAGGGGTGTATATGCGGCACGCTATTTCCGCATATACATATCACTCGATTTTATCGCCGATTTCGAAATCGCTGACACAAACCACTTTGGCACAGGTGGCCTACCGCTCACCACACGCGCGCACCCCACTTCCTCTCGCGCGCACCGCTCCGCGACCACTGGCCGCCGGCCGAAAGTAGCACCGTGAGCGCGCGGTAAGCATGCGCGCGACCGGCCGGTCTAGTGTGGGAAAGTTAATCATTTTGAGCTTTACCATCATAAATGTAAATTTTGTTCATATTCTGGTTCAGATTTATTTCCGATATGATACAAAAACAAAATAAAGCGCAAACTACGACCACCATTCCAGAAATGGTGCGATGATTCTGGAACTATTTGTATTGCTGTAGCGATATGCGGAACGAAGGACAGACGGCGCAGGGTACGCGCGCGATTCGTTGGACCAACATCGACAGCAGGTAAATGAACCAGGACGGGGGAGGCAGGGGACACCGGCCGGGGGGGGTGGGGGGGGGGCTCATGGATCATACGGGGCTCAGCTCCCGCAACCGGCAACTCTACAGAAGGTATCAACGGGCGACGGGCGTCACTTCACGAAATTTATTGGTAGGGCTCAAATAGTATAAGGTAGGTAGGTAGGGTAGGTAAGGCGCTTTAAAAACGACCTGAAAGATATTGGTGGTACGGGATAAAATCATTAAACCGCTCGTAGGCAGAAAAATATTTCAAACGTCTCACCTGTCGGCTCGACGTTTAAAAGATTCCTGCAACCATGCGTTGGTGACGGGCGTGGTTTTATGATGTAGGCTTGATAGGGCGGCCTGAGCCATACCAAGAACTTCAAAATTTTAACACTAGCCCTATGCACTGCATAGTAAGAAGGGTTTTTCTATATAAAGGTAGTGTGCCAGCTTTCCTGGGGAGTCAATGACCCGGATAAAGAGAACCGGTTTTTTAGAACTTATCCATACCTTCAAAACTCATGGAAACGTCTTAAATTCTTCAAATTTTGAGTTAAGTACATCGTACATAAATAGTGCGACATAGGTATTTTAACAGAGGCCAAGAGAAGCAGTGACAGGTAAAGCTTTGAAAACGATCAAGACAAAGTACCTAGGTAATGTCTGAAAGTTGAAACTGACAAGCTCATTGAAGATGAGGTCCCAAAGTAAACTAAAAAAAAAAAAACGGTGTCGGAAAGTAATGTTTTACTGCGTTTTACTGCGAATACCAACGAAAATATCTTTAGACGGTCAAATGACTGAAACGTCTTCTAGACGTTTTAACAAACTGTTCAACGTCTAATGTTCAACTGTTCAACGTTAAACGTCTATACCTATAGTCTGTTCCATATCAAGCTTGCGGTCGGAGTTTCTTCGGCAGATAGCTCCTCCACTCAATAATTTGCGCATTTGAATGTAAGAGCTGTATTTGAGCTGTAGCCTGTACATACAGCAATTACGCACTGCTTTCAGCAGGGCACTTCGGCCGCAAGCTTGAAGTAGAACAGAGTATAGCTGACATATCGTCTAGACTGAAATATGTCGCATTTTTTATATAAAATGTATTTTTCCCTTCAAGCGCCCGAAAGATATCGGCGGTAGGCATGGGTGTCGATTTGTATACCTTTGGGGGTGCTGCAGCACCCCCAATGCTCAAATGAGCACCCCCAATGGTTTTCCGGGCACCCCCAATGGTTTTGTCCCTCAATAACTCTGCTTGAGGAAAATAATTGTTCTGCAGTAGTTCACTACTAAAAATAAAACAATTACGCAACTTACAAGGCATGAAATAAAGATGTAAAGAAAAGAAAATTTAGATTTAAGAAGAAGGGCGAAAAAAAACGTTAAGTTGCAAAGATGGTGTGGGTCCGTCGTACACGGGTGTAGGACCCTTAGAGCTGCTGGCGCGTACCCTTTACAAGCCGGCAGGGGGCTCCAGAGACCGGCGACGGGCCCTCAGAGGCCGGCGAAGGGTCATCAGAGGCCGGTGGTATGTATGTACCTTCAGAAACCCTGTGGGGTCATCTTTAGAGACCGGAACGGGCTCAGGCGCTGATGGGGCCCTCAGAGTCGCCGGTGTGGGGCCTTCAAATGTCACCGGTGGCAGGGTGGCCGTCACATGCGCACTTATGGGGCCTTCAGAAGCTACGATGTTGGGCCCTCAGAGCCGCCGATATAGGGCCTTAAGAGGCACTAGTGTGGGGCCCTCAGATATGGCAATGTGGGGCCCTCGGACTGGAGGCGCCGGTGTGGGGGCTCTCAGAGACACTGGTTTAGGGCCATCACAGGCGCGCGTTGGGCCCTCAGAACTGCTGTTACGGAACGGATCCTTCATAGGCCGACAAGAAGATATCAAGAGGTCACCGGTGCCTTCAGGAGCCTTGTGGGGTTCTCAGAGACTGGCATGGTGCGCTCAGACGCCGCTGGGACCCTCCGTGTCACCTGTGTGGGGCCGTCAGGGTCGCTGGTAACTGTCAAGGGCCCTCAGAACCGCCCATGTAGGGTTTTTAAAGGCATTGGTATAGGGCCTCAGAGTTAGGGGTGTGGGGCCCTCAGAGACGCCGGTGTGGCGCTCAGGGGCGCCGGTGAGGACCCTCACAGTCGCCGTTATAGGGGCCCTCAGAGAAATGGGTGTGGGGCCATTACAGGCGGGTGTGCAGCTCCTAGAGCTGGCCCCCTAGAGGCCGGTTAAGACCCCCAGAGGCCGGCAAGTGGCCCTCAGAGGCTGGCTTGGGGCCCTTATGGAGATCTTAATGTTAGTACTTTTGGGCCCATGAGGTGTTCTTACGAGCCCTGTGGGGCCCTTCTGAGTCCAAATATAGCCAACGTGGACCCTCAGTGGCCAATTGGCGCCGCAGTGCCCCTCAGGCCCGAATAATCCGATGGGCCCCTGAACCTGATGGGGCGGGGGGGGGGGGGCTCACGGGCCCACCTGGCTACGCCACTGAGGAAAATCGTAAACCCATAAGTATCGAATTGCAATCACCTGTTATTTTTTTCAGCGATTATTGTGATCGTCTGATAAACGCCAGAGCCTCGTAGCTATACCGTTGCCTCCCGCGCAATGTCCGCCCCTGCGGACCGCAGGGGCTGCTGCACCGGTGCTAATCGCGGTCATCGGTTTCTGTCACCTTATTACAGAGGTGTCGGGGCTGCTGCCGAGCTGCCGGCAAATGTACGCGTTTTTTTTTTCGGAAAGCGGGTGGTGTTAGACGGTCAAACGTCTGCTTGGACTCCGGTGATTTCGGGCACGCCGGAGGGTAGCCTGATTTCTCCCCTCTTGTTCATTGCATTTATTAATGATTTGCCATCGTATGTTCACTCAGAATGCCTGATGTACGCTGACGATGTGAAGATTTACCGGGAGGTACGCACAGATGCAGATGCCGTGCTGTTATATGACGATCTCACCCGCCTAGTAGAATGGTCGTCATCCTGGAGATTAAAACTAAATGCGTCAAAGTGCAAGTCATTTACCATCACTCTCAAACGGTCACCCATCATCAGTCCCTATAGAATAGGTGGAGTGACGTTAGATCGCGTCACCACTATGCGCGATCTGGGAGTTACTCTGGACCAGAAACTCACCTTCGAGCGGCATGTTGATTCGATTGTCGCGGCGGGCAATAGAGCACTCGGCTTGTTGATTCGGTCACTCCAAGCCGGAGCGAGAAATAGGTATGACACTGGCGCTATCACCTCAGCATACTTCGCCAATGTACGTTCGGTTCTCGAGAACTGCAGTGTTGTGTGGGGCGGAGCGGCGAGAACACATACGGATCGCATAGAACGAATCCAGCATAAATTCCTTATTTGGCTTACAGTTAACTCTGTCACCAACTCGGATTCTCTCTCTTACGAAAATCTTCTTTCGGCACATTCTTTCACTTCTCTGGCAGCACGACGGGTGCAACATGACTTGGTTTATGTAGCTCGTCTTTTCAAGCACAAAATTGACTCCAGTTCCCTGCGATCTCATTTTGGCCTCGCCGTCCCGCCTCGATCAGTTCGCCGCCGTGATCTGCTCGCCGTGCCGTTCGCCAGAGTCGAAACCATCAAGAATGGGCTCTATTGTAGGGTGCCGAGGCTCGCAAATGAATTTATGCGTGAAAACAACCAGCTAGACCTGTTTACGGACTCCTTAGCCACAGTGAGGAAAACAGCTAAGTCTTACGCTGCTCAGCTATCCTCCCGCGCCTTTCCCACAGACCAATGATGTTGCCGTGTGTCGCAAGATTGCGGTCTGTTTTGTATCATTTATTGTATACCTTTATTACGTGTTTGTATGATCAGTGTGCCTATGCCTATGTGACTTTACCCGTAAATGGGCTTTTCCCGTGGGTGATACTGTGAATAAATAAATGAAATGAAATAAATGAAATGAAATGAAGATGTTTATGTAATGAGGTAGCCAAGTACTAGGACGAGCAGAATGATTTTGAAGAACGTTCAACCTTTGGGAAATATTAGTGGAAATCCCGGGATTATCAGTACCTTATGGGGATACACAACCATGCCTTGTAGGTACGGTTGTGCCCCATGGCAAAGCTACAATCTTTCACCCGGTGCAGGGGTTGAGCACCCCCAACCATTTTGAAAAATCGACACCCCTGGCGGTAGGTACGGGATAAAACTATTAAACCGCTCGTACGTAGAAAAATATTTTAAACACCCCACCATATGTGTTCTACCTACTCGCGGTTTAATATGTAGGCATGAATATTTATATATATTAAACCACGAGTAGGTAAAACAAATCTTTTAACCCGCGCCCCGTCGGAGTCTGCCGAACAACGCGCCCTGTTGGGGGGGGGGGGCGTTTTGCCCCCCCCCCCCCCCGCTAAGATCTCGAGAACCACGCAACATAGCGGCAAGCAGCAAACGGTGTTGGATAGCCCCAACGGGGAACTACCTTGTGGCCAAATTTCATTGACCTCGGTCAAACCGATGACGTCACAGGTAGGTCAGGTCAAATGTCGAATTTTCACAGTTTACAGGTATTTCAAGAAATGCGTTGTAAAATCGAGTAAAATGCATTTCATTGAAAATCATCGATGGGGAGTTGTTCGTCAAACACATATTTTGCTATTTAAGGTCTATTTGGTTATCCCGGGATCAGCTCACAGAGGTCAGGTCACTGAGGGTCACATTCACAATATGAA